CCCGCCCGCCCCACCCCCCAGCGAGGCATGCTTGCGCGAGGAGGCCGGCGGGCCCCGGGGAACTCCCCGCCACTGGGGCGTTCATCACAGGCGGAAGCTGAGCAGGAGTGGGCGGCCGGGCAGGCTCCCCCTGCCAAGAAGCTGGCGCTCTTTTAACTCCTGTTAGCCGCCTGTCCACCCGCCCGCCCCACCCCCCAGCGAGGCATGCTTGCGCGAGGAGGCCGGCGGGCCGGGGGGAACTCCCCGCCACTGGGGCGTTCATCACAGGCGGAAGCTGAGCAGGAGTGGGCGGCCGGGCAGGCTCCCCCTGCCAAGAAGCTGGCGCTCTTTTAACTCCTGTTAGCCGCCTGGAGCCAGCATGTCCGGCAAGGCGGGAGACAAACAGAAACAATAAATAAATCTGTGGCCAGACCCCAGGGTTGCCAACCTCCAGGCGGGGCCTGGGGACCTCCTGGAATTGCAGTTGCCTTCTAGGCAGCAGAGATCAGATCTCATTCCGGGGGGCCTGCATCTCCTCAAGGGGGTCAGCTGATCTCCAGCCAACAGCGATGGCCAGCGCCCCTGGAGAAAAGCACGGCTTCAGAGAGCAGGCTCTAAGGGCATCACATGCCCAGTGTTCCCTCTAAGCTGAGTTAGTGTGAGCCAGCTCACAGTTCTTTAGCCTCCGGCTCACACATTTCTGTCTTAGCTCAGGAAGGATGGCTCCAGAGCAAGCTGATTTATGCTCACAAGACTCTCCACGGCTTAAAAGGGAGCATTGCACATGCCCACTCTCCAAAAATGCCCCAAACTGGAGCTGGCACCCCCACAGAAGTCTGCAGAGGGCTCTACAGAGCCTGTTGGGCACTGCCTTAGCAAGAATCATGTAGAGGAAAAAAATGGTTTTATACCCTGCCCTTTACACCTGAGGGAATCTCAGAGTGGCTGACAATTTCCCTTCCCCTCTCCACACCCTGTGAGCTGGGTGGGGCCGAGAGCTCTGAGAGAACTGCTCTTTCAAGGACAGCTCTGAGAGAACTGTGACTGGCCCAAGGTCACCCAGCCAGGTGCAAGTGGAGGAGTGGGGAATCAAACCTGGTTCTCCCAGATTAGAGTCCGCACACTTAACTACTACACCAAACTGGCACTCAAGATCTGGGACGTCCCAGGTTGGGCCAGGCACACAGATTCTTAATGTAACCTTACCTAACAGGGTTATTGTGAGGCTACGATGGAAAGAAGAATATAACGGGAGACCGGTGGAGTCTGATCTTTCCCATAGATCTAATTGTGGCTACAGTTTGCCAGGAAAGACACGGAGAAGCTTTTCTCAGATTACCACCAGAAGTAAAAATTCAGGCCCTTTTCTTGGCCCCTCCATCCCAACAGGTTGGTTGACAGGCAGGCAGATCCCGCACCCAACCGTGGAGCACTAGTCCCAGCCCCAGCTCAGGCAAAGAGAAAACAGAAAGCCAGGGAAAAAACAGTCAAAAGATAAACTGCCACCTTTATTTATTCCACAGAGTTCCATCGCCATCCGGTCCCGCCACCCTTAAACTGGGGCGGGAGATGGAGATCCGCCTCCCTGCCCTCCCCCTCCGTGTCCCCGGCCATCCCCGCGGGGCTCCTACCACGGAGGGGACCCTCCTCGACCTTCATGCCGGGGCAGAACAGCCACCACCCTTCCGCCCAGCGGCCTGGAGCGTTCCAGGCAGCAGAGAGAGAGCGCGGCCGGAAGGGAAGGGCAGAGAGGAGCGGAACCCCTCCACGCTGCCTTCCCCAGCAGCCCTCTCTCAAGGCCCTGGCCGGGCCGCGTTTGGAAGAGGCCTGCAGCACCCTTTCGCCTCGGGCCCCCGTCACACCCAGGGGAGGCAAAGCCTCCAGACACCAGCGGCAAAGGGGGAGCGGAGGCACGAATGGCTCAAGCCCCCAAACGGGAGACTCCCTCCCCAGCCGCAAGCAACCCAGCGGGAGAGCCAACAGCCGGCTTGGCCGCTTGCTTGGCTCCGGGCAGGGGAATGGGGAGTGGGGCGAGGAGCAGGCCGTGCTCAGTGTGTGACTCGCAAAAACCCAGGGGCGAGGGGGACCCAGAGCTCCCTGGCCCACCCAGAGGGCAGCAGCAGCAGCAGGGCAGTGGGAGGGGAAGGAGGGCACAGCTGTTCTCCACCCACCCCCGGGTTCACTCTTGAGGCCTCCTCGCGAAAGCCCCGGGGGGCTGGGGGTGACCCTACTGGGATCTTCGTACATAAATAGCTATATAGAAACAGCGTCAGTCCAGCCCGCTGCAGGCACCCTGGTGAGGAAGGGACACGCGGTCACTCTCGGGAACGCTCCTTGTGCGACGTGGGAGATGGTCACATGATCCGGCACTGGTCTCCTCCGGCGCTGGCCGCATCGGGCAGATTCAGTCCTTCAAGGTCAAAGTTCAGGCCAGGTGGCTGGACAAGGCATGCGGGGGGGGGGGAAGACAGAGAAGAAATGTCAGGGCAGCCAGGCAGGCCGCGGCATGCACCAGGCCCCGGCAGAGCGCAGCAAACGGGCTTCAGCCACCAGAAAAGCAACCTTCATTCTTGTGTGAAGTGCATTTCATGGACATAAGCAAAGCCAGTAAATAGTAACATAAATACAATACAAAACAATGCAAAATCTTGATGTCGTTGTTCTTAACACTGTTTTGGCTCTGCTCCTGGAATGTTTATTCTTTAAGCCAGACTCTGCACCTCCTCCCAGAGCAGCCACAGACAGCCACCGCCACCAGCAGACAGCCCGCCAGGCAGAGACCCGCTCTTGCAAGGCAGCCACCGCCCGGAGGGCCTTTTGCCTCCTCTGCGGCTGCGGGCCAAAGGCGCCAGGCTCCTCACACGAGATGCTGCGCGGCCAAATGGCAAGCTCACGGGCGCTGGCAACCAGCTGGAAGGCGGAGTGTGTGGCAGAATGATAAGCGAGACGGGGTGGTTCTGTACAGCGGCCTGAACTGGCTTAGGCCTTCTCTGCCTGCACTTTGCTCTCAAAGAACTGTTTACATCTCTGAGCTCCCGCCTCGAAGCCAAAACATCTAGATAGGAAGACCCGTGGCTCCAAGCGCTCCTGCCGCTGACAGGGAGGGTGCTTTTAACCTAGTAATACAATTACTCCGGTCAGAGCGTTCTGGTCAGGAAAGGGAGGGGTCTGGGTTTCGTCAGGACCATCTGATTTCTAGACTGACATCTAATCTGGAATTCTAGAGGTATTTAACACCAGTGTTTGAGATGCGAAGGGCCCTCGGCCAACACCGTGGTTAGGTCTTGCCAGAGCGGCCGGGGTGCATGCCTAAACAGACAATAATTCTTAAATGAATAATAAGTGCACTATTTGCTTATAACTATTGGTTTGTCTGTTCCCTTCGGTACAATAAATACTGAAGTTGCCACTTGCTTGAAAATTTGTGCAGTGGGGGTTTTCTTTCAATAAATGGTTTTAACTTTGGGACAGGCTCTTTCTCTCTCTCTCTCTCTCAAACTATGGGGTTCCTGCCAGTTTCAACCCCCCTGTCGACCCAGGTGGGGGATGGGATTCCTAGGAAAAGCTCCTGGACTCTTTAATGCCCCCCCCAACAGAGGGCACCACTGAAAGCCCCCGGTCTCTGCAGGGGCAGCCGCCCAGGGAGTTTCACAGCGGTGCAGGGATTTGAACACGTCTCTCCCCACTGCTGGTCTGGCACGCTTAACTGCCACACCACGCTGCTCCTTTCCGACAGACGTCCCCCGACTGTTTAGACAGGACTGCCCCCTGAGAAGTGTTGCTCGCGCAAGCAGTGCTGACTGCAGCGGCAACCAGGCCTCCCTCCTCAGCCCCCCAAGTGCGTGCGTGCGCGCACCAAGAGAGACTCACCGATTCCCCAGCCAGCTCCTTGGGAGGGTGGCCCAGGTCTTGAAGCTGAAAGGCAGACACACACACGCAGGGTGAGCCACAGAACGCGCCCCTCAACCCTAACCCTAACCCCCCCCCCGGACCCCAGCCCCACTTGCCTGCTGCATCAGGTCCAAGACCAGCTCGAAGCGGGCCTTCTGCTCCGTGTCGCCGTCCGTGGGCCGCTCCGCCTCAAACTGCTCGCAGATCTTGCCCATGAGGCTGTGCTGCTCCCGGTACTTGTCGTACTGCTCCTTGGGCAAGGACTCCCGGTGGCTGTGGAGCCACTCTGGGTACTGGTGGTGGTGGGGGGAGAGACAGGAAGGCATGGAGGAGCGGGGGGGTGGAG